CTCGGTTCAAGATGATGTGTCGTTCCATTAAAAGAGCTGATCAAGTAACCGAGGACGCAATCCGCTTGATCGCCTTTCCATGGACGTTGATAGACGCTGCACTAGACTAGCTCTATGAACTCGAACCGGATTCCATTCATACGTGGAATCAATTGGAGAGCCAGTTCATGCAACATTTCTTCTCTCCGCACCGAACTCAAGCTGCCTTGAACAGTATCCACTCGTTCAAACAAGACCATGGAGAGACTCTACATGAAGCGTGGAAGAGATACAAGGGCTACCAGAAGTCATGCCCTCATCACGGCCTCGACAAGAACTACTTGATCAACACGTTTCTCAGAGGCCTGAGGTCGGATACTCGGACATTAATCCGAGCCTCATGCGGAGGGAGCATTTCAAACATGTCCTTCACGGAACTCGAGCAACACATCGACCAAATGGCGAGAGAAGAAGATTCTCCGTTGGAGTCCGTGAGAGACATGCCCAGGAGAGATAACGATGCTAAGCTACAACTCGTGCTAGATGAACTGACCTCGTTGAAGTCGAAGCTTGCTAATGCAAGTTTCATCTCCTCTGCTAGCACCTCGGGTGACCAGCAAGGCGAGCATGCATTGTGCATTGTTGACGAAAGGGTAGAAGATGTGAACTACGTGGAAAACAACCCCTATTCCAACACATACAACCCAGGATGGAGGAATCATCCGAATTTCTCCTACAAGAATAACAATGCTCTCAACCCTCCGCAGAACAACTATCGGCCGGTGCAAAACCAGAATCAACGAATCCCACCGGGGTTCGCCTTTCAACCACGTGCCCCACAGATGCAGAACCTAGGGCCGATTCAGAACCACCCAAACAGACCTCCGGTCCAAAATATTCGAGCACCCGCGCCACCACCGCCACAACAAGATGGTGACTCGGAAATCAAGACGATGCTAGCACAACTACTTCAAGGACAAAAGATGCAAGAAACAGTGCTACATAGCCTTAAAATAGACCAGGAGGAGGTCAAAAATCAAATGGGAAGCATGCAAGCTCAAGTGGATGGAATGCAATCACACCTTAAACTGCTTGACAACCAAATCGCTCAGATGGCCTCAACGTCTCAAAGACCTAGTGGATCACTTCCAGGGAAGCCTGAGACCAACCCACGAGAGCACTGCAATGCTATCGCCTTGAGAAGTGGCAAGCAACTTGAAGAAACAACTCCGCCGATGATGGAACAAGGGCAAAGCTCCAAAGCAAAGGAGGTCGGGACCGAAGAAGCTGAGGAAGTCTATGTTCCTCCACCACCGAGACCTCCGCCGATCCCTTTTCCATCCCGCCTCAAAAAGCACAATGAAGATCGGCAATTTTCCAGATTTGCCGAAATGCTGAAAAAACTCGAGATCACAATGCCCTTCACAGAAGCTATCCTACAAATGCCGTCTTATACTAAGTTTCTCAAGGACATTCTCACGAAGAAGAGAGTCGTGGAGAAAGAGACGGTATCACTCAACATCGAATGCAGTGCGTTGATTCAACATGAATTACCACCCAAGAGAGCTGACCCAGGTAGCTTCTCGATACCCTGTAAATTGGGTAATGTTTCGATTGACCGGGCATTGTGTGATCTAGGAGCAAGTGTTAGCCTACTCCCACTATCCATTTTCAAGAAGTTGAATGTGGGAGAGTTGAAGCCTACAAGGATGGCGCTCCAACTTGCTGACCGATCGGTGAAATATCCCGCTGGGATATTAGAAGACGTACCACTTAAGGTGGGAAACTTCTACGTACCGGTCGATTTCGTGGTGTTGGACATGGACGAGGACTCGAGAATACCGATCATCCTTGGTCGTCCATTCCTTAACACCGCAGACGCAGTCATCCATGTAAGGGCTGGAAGGCTAACGATGAAGATTGGCGATGAGACAGTGGAGTTCACGCTTGATCAAAACCTCAAGCAACCATCTGTCATGGAGTCTTCGTACTTCATTGACATGATCGAAGTTTTGACAGAGGAGGTATTTGGTCAATTGCAAGATCGCGATCCCCTGAAGATGATGCTCCTAAACCCTGAGAAAACCGACAAGGAACACATATGGACCTTTAGCTGAATCCTGGATGCACCCGACGTACCCCCGATGGATCTAGCAAGGTCCCCGATTCAGGCTATTCTGTCCTCTGAGGCTGACACCAATCTTCAATTTGCGATAGTCAATACACATGCGCCAACCGGTCACCGTTCTCGTCGGAATAAGCTCGTTCTTTTCGTTGGTGACCACCGTCATTCCTCCCTTCTTCGGAACGACCTGTACAGGACTCACCCAATGGCTATCAGAGATAGG